CATATGCGATTATATATAACACTCCTCAATCCACTCTATCAGTACAACCAAGCTATCAACTTTTAGGCAACCGATCGCAATTCCAGTTTCCAACTATTATTACACATTCGCGCTTGATTCCATGACAATTTACCTTCTATAAGGGCTAATAATTCACCGTTTTAACCTGAACTCTTGATCATTACCAGCCTTCCTAGAAGGACACTCACTCAATCTGTCAACATCAATCTCGTTATTATCTCTTTCATCATAAGACGAGAATTCCAACAAATTTACTACCTCACTTGGAGCCGAAATTATTTCATCAAACTTACTTTACACCCACAATAGTGTTTCACTATCACACTTCAAAATTTTTTTTACACACTATACCTCACCTCTTGTCTTCAATTCTGACATACTATTGTCCATTTACAAATATCTGACCTCATTTTTGCGTTAATCACATGGAAGAACTCTCTCAATACAGTGGGTAACAACATTCACAGGTTTTAACCGCTCGAGCTCTTGCTGTCCTCAGGGCCCCAGATGTAATGACCCACCGATCAGAGAATCCACCCATATAATCCATGCAGTAATGATAACCTACCACCTGCTGACTGTGTTCTATTAGTATTCCCAACGTTTCTTATTTGTGCACTTATGTAGATCAATTCAACTATAATAGCATTCTCATCACTGCGGGATACTTCCTCATCTCATATTACTCGTATAACATAATAATAGTCTCCGGGAACATAATCCGCACGGAGATGGCTACACACTCCGGGCACATAGGCCGCACAGAGATGGTAATATCAAGTCTCATAACGTGCACCTAGTGCATAGAGGAGTTCATATTTACATCACATCTGTATACAACAGCAAACGTGTACCCAGTATACAGGGGAGTTCATACTTATAACATATCCGTATATAACGGCAAAACTGGTACTCCGTACACTCCAGATCACACATGGACCCAGTCCATTTGGTGTCTGTATCACTCTGTATATAACAGCAAAATATCTTTGGTATATTCACATGGGGCTATCCCCATAACCATAGTAATAATGGTATAATATACACCTGTTATATATATAAGTCAATTCATTTTACTCTCTCATTTCATTCTTCTCACTGATAGTTTACATGTAAGTCACTATTATAATAATTCACATTCTCTTCATAATTTCATACACATTTCTTAACTCTCAATAGTTCCTTCTGTCATGTTATTGTTCAAATCCATAGTCCATTATCTCTTCCTTGCTTATTCTTCTCACAGATTGTTTTCTCTTTTACTTTGACTATTCACTTGGCATAGTTCATAACATAATCTCTATTCCGTGAATCAAGAATTTTCTCAAAGTTCTGTACACATCTCACACATACTTCCCATCACACAGGGATCTTCTAAACATATTCGTCCTATCACAAAAGACTAATTTCACCTCAATCCGTGCACTGGAAAATTATATCAATCCTTGCACTAACACTTATACCTCAACTCATTAACTAATCTTATCATTTTTGTTTTGACATTACACATTAGCTCTTTTGCTAAACACATAATTCCACACTTTATTGTAACTTAGTTCATACACTAATCACATGATTTCCCATCAGGTTGTACATTAGCTCATTCTCTAATCATACAATCTCTTCAGATACTTCCCATCATCGGGGATTTCATTCGGCCTCATTGTCCTTTTACAAAAAATTTAATAATTTACCTCAACACGGATAATTAGGCGCTCAGGCCATCACAAGGTGTACATACATATATATGTATACTGGCACTTAGGCCATCACTGGATTATTATCCGTTTATTCATCAGAATAGGTATACTGGCCATCAGGCCATTAGGTATTATTCATAATGCATTACAACATCCACAAGTAATTAGGCCATTTAAATTACGATATTCATTCTCTGAGATTTCCAAGAGACCTCCATCATGGATCAATCCTCTTATGCTTCGTAACACCTGAATCTCTACATAGTAGCCATTTCCAAGGAGAATTCCACACATTAACGCACACATATAGTCATATTTGTTTCCTTCATGGCATATCGGTCAAGCTAAACCATTATTCCGTTACGGACAATCATACTCTCAATGAACCTTGTTCAATGCCATCCATGGCAATTCTCTCAACTTCTTCCTTATACATATAATACATAATTAATTCATCTCGCCTATGTTTAATCAGCACTACCTCCTTATGAGTTTAAATCCCATATTTCAATATATCTCAATTTAACAATTGACCAACATTATAATTTCAAGTGGTCAAATCCCATAGGATTAATCATCAATTATTCTATTTATTTCTCTGCATTAACCATCTCAATTTGTTTAAGTGTACATCATCCATCAAGGACTTATAACTTCTAGTCAACATAAAATATTCAAACTCATGCCTAAGCATATTTGTTCATCATTTTCAATAACCCAACAGGTTCTAATCTTCCACCTTGATGAAGTATATTCACCAAGTCTATTGTACACACTATACTACACACATACTTGGAAGCTTCACCAATACCTTTTCCATACTATGGACTCATCTCAATTATATATCTTTATTATTCATGGTACTACAAGGTTCATCCATGCAATACCGTACATATCATAGATTTGTTTACAACTTTCACTTACAATCCAGCTTTATAAATTTCATCTACAAGGTCAGACAAAACATTTAAGTCTGTTTCCCATAAGTCCTATAATATTCATATTTTACTTACTGCCATCTCTTGTCCATGGAGCAGTCAACACTGCATCCACAACATCAGGCTAAAGACTTACATTTGGTGCTCCACAGTTGCCACGTAGGCTTCTTACGATGACTACGCATGTAACACAAAGGAATGGGTTGATCAGACCCACACTAAGGAATCACATATGCAGTAATCGATAAGAATCTACATACAACTATGCAACACACAACACAACTATATATACATTATCAGAGTTCCCTAACAAAACTGCTCTGATACCATAAAATGTAACAGCCCGTTACGTACCGGTATTGTTAACATTAATTATGATATTAAGCGCAGTTACAATCACAGCAGTTCATTTAAAAAAACGAGAATAAATTTTTTCCGACTATTACGCGAGCATTTAAATCATAAAAAGCGTAATAATTAAAAGCTGTGACCGTAACCGTAAACTCTTGCGGAAGACTTATTTCAACTATTTTTATAACTTACATCATTTATTATGAGTTACTAAGGAGTTCCCATAAACTCACTTAGCCTATTTCCAACTTTACATTTTTACCAATTCGAACATGTTTCACTCTAAATTTTTCTGCGACCAAACCGATCGCAACCAACCCTTCTTCTCAGATTATATTTTTTTATTACTTAATTCCCTTTTTAACAAGCTATCATACGCTCAATTCGGAGCTCATTTGCTCCGGTTATCGCCGTTTGAAGTTGGATAAGCAATTAGCCCAAACAACCCCAAAAACAGCTCCAAACCACTCACATTGCTCGAATTACTGCACTCAATCCACTCAACCATTTTCTCTCAAATTTTTATCCTACAAACTAGACATCTAAAACTTCATTTTGATATATCACACGCTTAATTTGGCGGAGAAACGAAGCGGGAATTAATTTCCCAAATCCGGTCCAGAATCCGCCTCAGGTGCAGGGGCACATGGGCAGTCCGTGTTTCTCTAATTTTTTCAGGCCGAAGATCAACCCAGAATTTCCTCAAATTTTGACACAAGGTAGAGGACATCTCAACCTTCAAAATGGCGTATGGCACGTCCCTAGAGGACTTCTATGGAGGGAGATATGCTCTCCCGAAGTTCGCCTAAAATCTGCCAATTCTACAGAAAATTCGCCAGAGTTTCCTTTGTTTTTCCAATAATCCCAAATTTGTAAAAGATCATTTAAACCTCAAATGTACCTAATAAACACATGACAATACAGTAATAATCCAATGGGTGGCACACACAAGGACCAACAATGCCTTGGGGCACTTACAACCCAATCCAGTTTATAGTTATTAAACATAGAGTCCATATTAATCATTCTTAAGTAGTTGCAATCACTAACACCTTTTTCATGCATATTTCCATCATACATATTATCATAACCTAAAACAGGCCTAAGGCCCTTCCATCATAGTTAGACATGCATCAATACTATTATAATATGGCTTTACAAATTACAACTTGAAACTAAAACTTCAAATTACATTCTTCTAAAATTTCAACTTAATTTAAAAGACAACATAACCAAATACATCACTACTAGACTTAGGCAAAATGGCATGAACAAGATGCTAATGAAGCTACTAATAAATACAAATGACATGTTCATGCCCTAAGTCTAGCCTAGGCCACACGGCCAACAAAATGCAAAATATGAAGCGCTCCAGCGCTCACTCTGCGGGCCTCTTGCCTGAGGCTCCTGCTCCACTGCTACCTCCTGAAATAAATGCCCCGAGACGGGGTGAGATATACGAATATATCTCAGTAACCAAGAGGTTCTGGAGAAAACTCCACCCAATGGTTCACTTCGATGCATATCAATAGAATACAACAACCACTTTGAAAACGGGATATAGCAAGGGATTTAGAGAATGGGGAATATAAAGAAAACAAAATACGACGATACGGGATGGTAACCCCAATTCCACGTACGCCCTCGGCATATATAAGCCTATGGGTATCATCCAAGGTGTGTTCACAGAAACCACAACCATGATGCCCAAACCAACCAAAACGCCAAAGACATTCCTAGTGTGCTCCTACCCGGATCACACACCATGACCGCAGTCAACTGGAACTCCCTCCTGGAGACCTATCCAGCGGAAGTCCGAAAATGCCCGAAGGCTAATAAAACTGTCTACTGGCCAGAGACTAGGTACTGCAGTACCCATAGCAATAATGCATGCATGCTCATGTGTTCTGTACTATTCATACACACTTCCTACCGTTGCCATCAACTGGCAAGGTGGAACAGAAAAGGGGAACAAGCCCCAGTACCAAGAGGTTACCTTAATTCGTGTTTCCACAAGCTCCGTAGCAGCTTATCCCTCAACTCGGTACACAGCGGAATGCCTACACAGAGGACATTCCCAATCACTCTCAGTTCAACCCATACATGTTAATTTATAATTACACATGCAATGAACCAATTTCTTACCTCAATCCACTTGGTCCCGGACCAAGGGCAATTCACTGATTCAAGATTCGGGATTCAGGTCGATGTACGGCAACCTATACAATAACGTACATCCATCAGTACTCGTCAAATAGTATCAAAACGCAAAAACACAAAAATCCTCCCCATCTTCCCTTGATGGTTCGGCCATTGTAGTGTAAATGTGAGATTTATTTTTCTAAATTTTCTTTCTCATTTTGTTACGTCTCATTAGGTTGTCAATAAGCCAATTCAAGTGCCGGTTCGTCATTTTCGCGTCGGATTACATCAGGAAGCGAAAACCGCAAAATCCCCCCTTTTTCCCTTGGAGGTTCGGCCATATAGGTGTTAATTGGGGATTTATTTTTCTAAATTTTCTTTCTCATTATAGTACCCATCCTTGGGTTGCCATAAGGCCATTTCAACTGTCGTTTCGCCGTTTTATGTCTTTTAAGCATCGTTTCGCTAAATATTTCGCTCTAGGTTCATTTATGCCAACTAAACCACTTATTATTTTTCCATTGATTCTAACACTTGCCAATCACAACACAACCCATCTAAGCACTATATAACTACACAAATCATCATCCAAATCATTTTTCATCATCAATTCACTCATTTTTCCTCAAAGGTTCGAATCTTGCCCTATGACATTCCAAAGAATTTCCATTCAATTTTAATCACTCCAACCTTCACACAACCTATCATATCATCATACCATCATGCCACAATTCATCAAACAAGTCTCAACACCAAAATTCACAAGTCCAAAATCATGATCATCAAATTTTTCTAAGTTAAATTCATCAATTTTCACCAATAAATTTCATCGCATTTCTAGCTTTAATACATCATTCTAACACATTATCATCTAATACACATTTTCAAATTGAGCTCTCTAACGTCACTATTCATCATATCAAAGTTTAGGTTTTCAAAATCAAATCATCACCATCAACCATTTAAAATGCAAGAACACTCACCCAAATGGAAGGTACAAGGCTCCTCCTAACTATACTCCACCATTGGAGCACTTAGAAGCTCCAAGAACACAAAATTCCTCACCAAAACCGCAGCTGTAAATGGCCAAGATCTCCTCACACACGCGATTTCAAGGCTCAAGAGTGGTACCAATGTGTTTAGGAGGTGTTTTCCAACAAGTTTCAAGACAAAAATCGTTGGATTCGGTGGAGATTTGACCAAGTTATGGAAGAAAGAAAGCTTGAGCAATTCTTGGCCATGGAGGGGCTGCTGCACGCGGGAGAGAAGAGAGGGAGGAGAGAGAAAGTGTGAAAAAAAGGTGAGTTTGACTCACTTAAGTCACAGGCGGGTCCCACACGCGTTTTAACTTTAATCAATCACCTAATTTCAACCACAAATTCATGACCTACATATTTTTCTTGTTCATGTCATATTTTTGTTTCCCAAAAATACTGATAAAATTTTCACGCTTATCGGTACAATTATACCGCAGTATTTTTACACCGGAAAATCACTATTCATCAATTTTTCCCAAAATGACTCAATTCCATCAAATTTCATCAAAATCATATTTCCTAACTCAAAAAAACATTTACAACTCATATTTGAAACCTAGAGCTCAAAACTCAATCGGCACGTTTTACGGTGCAATCGTACCGCGGTATTTTTACCCGCGAAAAACACTATTCACTGATTTTTCTGAAACTTGCCTGTCCACTCAATTTTTCGTTCTGAACCCATTTCCAGGGTTATTTTTACCATCTGAGACCTTCTACTCAATTTTTATCTTCCTAGGGTTGCGTGTTGGCTAATTACCGTTTTGCCCTTTCTTTGTATTTTGGCCTAATCTTTTGGATTTTCACTAATCCATCACTTGATTGCTCACTTAATATTTTAATTACTTGATTTAAAATTGTGAGGTGTTATACCTTGCTTACCACGCAAACATCCTCGATGTCCTTACACTGCTGAACCAGTGTACCAAAGTCCTTCGAAGCAGCACCAGCAAGATGCTCAGCAATCACCTCACTAAGTCCCCTGCGGACCTTAGCTTCCAGAAACAACGGAATAGGAGGAACCATCCGAAAGTGTGAAAACTTCACTAGCTCATTAAACTTAGCCAGGTACTCATCAACAGACATCGAGCCCTGTACCAAACGGTCAAACTCTCCCTGCTTTCTCTCCTGCGCATCATAGGGAAAGTATCGGCCCAGAAAGCACTCCTCAAAGAATGACCACGTCATGACACGGCCCTGCCTCTCAAAAGCACGAGAGGTGTGCGTCCACCACTCATTGGCATCGCCCTCCAGCATGTAGGTCGAGAACATCAGCTTCTGTGGGTCTGTACACTGCATGACCCGAAAAATCTTGTCCAGTGACTCTAGCCATCTCGCAGCAACAATAGGATCCAAAGACCCCTCAAACACAGGTGGCTTATGCTTCCTGAAATCATTCAGCCGGCGATCGATCACATCACGATCCTCCGCAATCCCCACAAAGGGCTCCCCCGTCTCAGCGGCATGAGTAGCACTACCGATGTGACTATGGCTCTCCTCCTGAACACTAGGTGGAGGCGGTGGCGGTGGTGGCGGTGGTGGTGGAGCCTGGCCAACAGCAGGACCAGCTCTCATCTCCTCCAATATGACTCTCATCATCGTCATGTTCGCCATCCTGTTCGCCTCGAGGACTTCCTCAGTGGTCCTCTGGTTCGCTTCACGAACCTCAGCTGCGGCTATCCGGTTCGCCTCGCGAACAGCTTCCATCATTGTCGCGTTGGCCACTCTAGCGGCCTCCAGATCGGCTAACCTAGTCGCCTGCATCTCATCCAATGCAGTCAGGATATGATCGGGTTGATCCTCAGAAGTATCTCGTGTTCTCCCGTACCTTACCATGACTCTGCACAAGTTACACAAATTATGAGTTGATCAGGCCCACGCAATGTGATCACATATACAGCATCATAATAAAATTCGATGGAGTAAACACAAAGACAGACACAACCAAACAACCTAGCAATTGCAATACATACAGGCTTTTCCCTCGAACCATTGCTCTGATACCATAAATGTAACACCCCGTATATATCCGGTAATGTTATCATAATATCGTATTAACCTGCCCTTAAATAAAAATGCGGAATTACTTTTTTCTTTTCAACTATGATGCCATTAACATTACCAACTTGCTTAATAATCAATTAATAAAACATCGTCTGTATGTAATTGCAGTAAAACAGCTAACTGAAATACCTCATCACATAGATAATATAAGTGTGGCTCTAGTCACGGAACTACAATAATGTAGACCAGACCATCTAACAGTTTATACAACTCCAATCTAAAAGTACTAACAGAAAGTGTCATGGTATACTGGCGGTCATGGGACAACTGCTGGAAAGTGTGGCTCTGATACCATGGGTATCTGGCGGTCATGGTATACTGGCAGTTGTTGACTTTGGGCTGGTAACGGAGGACGGGTGAGATAGGTAGGTCGTGGGACAACTGCTGGAAATGGCATTCCAAAATGAACACCGGGGGGAGGTGGCTGGTTTAGGACTACATTTTCTCCGTGCATCTCGCACATGGGTGCTTGATGATGTTGCAGGGCGATCCTAGCATCATTCGTTGGCAACTGTGGGCCTATGGTCTGTAGTACAGGAGGTTGGACTTCTCCAGCGGCCCGCTCGGTTGGGGCCGAATGTATGGATGAAGGGGAGCTTGGTTGTACTATCTGTACGTGTCCTTCTGGTGTCATGGCCCTGGCGTGCTCCGCTCTTCTGGTGGTGACAACCATGTAGAGTTGTAAAAAGCGTCTGGCGGTTGTTTGTTAGTAAGAGGAAATGACCCGTCAAATGGATCTTTGGGTAAGAGAATGGGAATAGAAGTTTATCTTTTCCCACAGACAGCGCCAATGTACCATTTGGTTCTGTGAGCCCACTATGTACCCTTTGAGGGTAATGTTGTTATATGGATGGTACCTCTAGCTGAGGTAATGACCAGGCTAGAAGGTATTATTCCAAGAACAAGTAAGCAGATATCAATGGCAGACAAATAGTAAGGGTATGACTTAAGAGTAAATGGGTGTAATAACAGTACATAAAAGATGATCTTCCTGTTGTGCCCATGAGGGTTATTTATAAGGAAAATGGTGTGGGTTGGTGAGGTGGGGGTCAGCCCTCCTTGGGATGTGTTCCCCTGATGGCAGTGTTAGGCGCGGTTGGCGCTGCCACAATGGCAGCGCTGCACCCACTGCATCAAGCGATGTCAGCACTGAGCAAAGGGACAGATTCCTTTGCAGTGCTTATGTCGACTGCCTTTAGCGGTTAATGTCCCAAAGTGGGACATTTTGGTGTATCACTTGGACGTGCTGCAGTCTTGGAGATCGTGAGGGTCCACGTCAGCCCTAAGGGCTGACGCGGAACAAGGCTGAGGATTGGGTCTGAGCAACTGGGCCGCTCCAGTGCTTGGGCCATCCGGAACATGCAGTATTTTCATGTTTCATCTAACGCACCAAGGAAATAGTAAATAAGTGTAAGAACCGCACCACTAAATAATTAATTAAATAAGATTATTGATGCCGGAGCATGGATTTAATAAATATTATGCATTAGTATGATAAGATAATTATTTGGAAAGTTGAATAATGCTTAAAGTCATTTTTCTGACGAAAAGTGCAGATACCGGTTCTGCTTCGCGGTATAAATGCATATCAGTGAAGTATCCCGAAAAATTAAAAGAAAAATATAAATATTCCTATAAAAATATTTAGGTCAAGAATATCAAGTTTGGGAGTAAGAATAATGAACGTTGATGTTAGAACTAATACCGGCTACGTATAAAATGCGTACCGGAAAAATGCTACGAAAATTATAATAAAAATATGATAATTTCTAGAAAAATGGCTAGGTTCATAATATGAAGTTTGAGATTAAAATAATTAGCGAAAATATTAGAATTAATACCGATTGTTTATGTTAATGCACCTATAAATAGAATTGTGCACAATAACCTTGGTTAGTTTTCTAATTTCCTATGTAGAGCTTGTAACACCTCGGGTGTACCAAGTTTGTTAACATGTCATAGTTTTATTTCAATTATGACGTCATTAATATTACCAAGTTGATTACTTAATTCTTTTCATAAAACATCGCCTGTATGTAAATTGCAATCAAGCTAAATACTCTGAATAACCTCAATATATAATTAAAAGTGAGTATCTAAGTCATGGAACTGCAACACATAGTCCGGACCATAATCTTGATACATTAATACAACCCGAAGCTAAAATATGACATAGTCAATCAATGTGGCATGGACAACCTCCATACTAACCAAATAAGGCAACAAGGCCCAACAAAGTCTCAGCAGCAAAATAATAATAATAACACAACATTAAACATAAACGGCATCCAATCACAACAGTATAACTAGCACGCAACAGTCAACTAAGCTTCGGCCTCCTGCCTCCTGAGGTCTCTACCCCAGAGTTACTTAAACCTGAAATATGTGCCCCAAACATGGGGTGAGATCTCTAAACAGAAATCTCAGTAAGACAAGGGATCCTCAAGAATTTCTCCACCCCAAGCTCACTTATATGTGCAATATAAGTTATAAAAGTAGTTTAACAATATAAGTTCCAACATCAGTGCAATGCAGCATATAATCATATCATGTGTGTCAACTATTCTACTGGCCAGAGGAATGTAGGATATATGTACGTCTACAACCCACAATAGTACACGCCCATGTTGTACCTGCCCATAGGATCTCATTCTCGTATAGGCAAAACATCACATACAGATCATGAGGCATTTGCACTTAACAGCTCAAAAACATTTCAATAAATCAATACATGAAAAACACATCATGCATATAAACCATCCCCCCATGGGGTATGGTGGAACCAAATATTGCTAAACCGAGGACACAAAATCTTACCTCGCAAGCTAACTATCCAAGCCAAGCTCACACTAGCTCAATGTCCACAAAAGCACAATCACAATTTGTTTATATCAAAAATATCATCAATAACCATGCTTTAAAGGTTCATTTCAGTATGACAACATTTTCTTTTTCGTTTACATCTTTTCTAGTTTATAATTATCAAGCATTAAGTCCCACAATTAAAGGTATCACTGTTTCCCAACAGTAACACAAACTTCCTAGGCCATCATGCCCAAATGGGGACCTTCCCACACATAAAACTGGTTTCTGGTCATTTTCACAAGGGGTAATCGATTACCATGGGCATGGTAATCGATTACTG